AGTTACACTCCATAGTGGAATCTGTATTAGGTGCATTATACTTTGTCTTCAGTGCCACAATGCTGCACTGAAGACAGCTGTAATTGCACTGAATACAAACCCACTCCTAATGGATTACAATGATTCCACTCCCTGCTAGAGTTTCTATTAGGTGCATAATAATTCGTCTTCAGTGCAACACTGCTGCACTGAAGACAACTCTGATTGCATTGAATACAAATCCAATAGTATTAATATATTGCTAATGTCCATAGCATAGCTGGTAGCCGTCAATGCATAGGGATCCGCTTTGTCGTAATTCATTGAATAATGATAAAATAATATTGCACTCCATATTGGAATCTGTATTCGGTGCATTACACTTCGTCTTCAGTGCAACAATGCGGCACTGAAGAGAGCCGTAATTGCACTGAATACAAATCTACTATTAACATGTTACACTAGTTACACTACACAGTGGAATCTGTCTTCGGTGCATTATACTTCGTCTCCAGTGCAACAATGCCGCACTGAAGACAGCCGTAATTGCACTGAATCTAATAGAAATTATGACTGAAATACCAAGTTACTATTTTTAAATTCTTTCCTTTATGAATACCGACTGCATAGTAGAACCCTATAATTCCACGTACAGGTGTTGCACTGAAGGTAGCCAATGATTGCAGCGACGATTACACATCTTTCTAGCTTTCGATTTGTTTGCTTGCCACTGGATTTCGTTCGATTGCAGCAATGCATGGCCACGATGCAAGACATGACAGCAGATTATTAAATGAAACGGTCAACCAAGTAGAATCCCCTCACCTCAGCAGGCTTCTGCCCTGATGGCTACAACATGTTGGGATCGAGTTTGATACATAAGAGTAGACAGACCCGCCAGGCATGCTCAATTCCGCCTCCAACCGCAAGGGCCACAGCACAAAACACGCCACGAAAGCAAGCAAGTCAATCAGACAGACGACTAGGCGGCCTCCCCAATGGTCTTTTCAAACACCGGTGTTTGCCCGAGAATGCCAGACAGATTCACCCCCACTCGGCCAAGGTGGGTTCCGCCAAAATGAAGGGGGTCGGAAGTTTCTGCCTTTCTGGGTCCCGCCACTGCCACGCCGCAGGCTTATCCCATACTTGCAGATTCATAGCTTCCGATGACCTGGTATGCTCCGGCAATAACTCCACCGGACAATGACAGGTCCCCCCCCCCTCATTGTCTGCCGCCATTGGCAGACCGCAGGCTAGTAGCCCTGCAGGTGTGACGGTGGGTCAGCGAATCAGCACAAAGAACAAACGCAGCCCCGAACCCGAACTGCCTCCGCCCGGCCCCAAGCAGCAGCAGAGTCAAGCGGCGGCAGCAGAAGCAGAAGCAGTCGTCTATGTGCAAAGATGATTCCGCACGTGCCACGAAGTCCGGAATCAGGCTTCGGTAAAGAAACATGTTACAACGAGGAGTCCAGGAATTGAATTCAACAAGTGCAGAAGCATCAAGTGTGCGACCAGCGACAAGTGTCTGAGTTGAAAGGCTGGTCTCACTAGTTCCGTGCAGCCCCCTCTTCCAAGGTTTGGCCCCGTCCGCCGGTGACCGCCCCCCAAGCGGCAGCAGCACCAGTAACAGCACCGGAGTCAAGTGGCGGCAGCAGCAGCAGCAGCAGTCATGGCATGAGCAAAGATGATTCCAACTTCGGCCAAGACCACGTGTGCCAGAAAGTCCGCATGTGACACAACTGACAAGGATTCATTTCAATCGACAACTGGACGAGAAGTACGGAAGCAACAGCAATTTAGACAGTGTGACAGGTGCGACCAGTGATAAGGCATCTGAGTTCAAGGCCTGGTCTCAGTCGACGTATCCCTCCCAATCCAATGTCAGGCCAGCTCCTCCGGATGCAAAATGCTTCTTGTAATCAAGAACAAGATAAGTAAGACTCGCCTGCCCAATGCCACCAGGAAGTCGTGCTGTGCCCTGACAAAAACAAAAGTATCAGGCCAGGCAGCTGCACATGTGGACATGCCCGTCTGAGCGAGAGGCCATCGCCGAGCATGACATCCGACCCAACCTCGGGCACGGCAACTCTCACAATGCATGTCAGACGCAGTACTCAGTGACTCAGTACACGCCCGCACTGCAAAGCCCATTTTTCTCTTCTCAGGCGGAAGACCACTCACCCCTCAGTCATCAGGCAGCCTCAGACTCAGTCAGGCCCATGCCCTGGAATCTTCGTCCTCGTCGCCGTCCTCCTCCTGCCACTGAGACGAGGATCGCCAACGCCAGCCCGAGCCGTGCCAATTCTCAGACGACCACTGCTGCCGCTCAGACGTCCACTGCTGATTGTCAGACGACGTCCATGGCTGCTCAGACGTCCTTGTCGTGGAGGATGCCGCCCCGCCTTGCCCTGTTGGGCCATTCCATGGGGCGGCTTCGGCAGTCCGTGCACTGGTGCTGCCCGTGTCAGCAGGCACGGTCCCAGCGGCCCCCGTCGTCTCGTTCTCAGACTGGCCATTGTTGTCAGACGACGACCACGGATCTCTCGGATCCGGGATTGGACGGCGGCCTTCTCCAGCTGTGCGATCTCGGACGCTTTGGCGAATTTTCCTCCATGAGGAGTGCTCCGTCTGAAGCCAGTCAGACTTCCTCAGTGAGGGAATAAAAGTTGAAAGTGTCAGAATCGACTACATTAGTTATCAAGAACCCCGAAAATGGAAAAGTTTACTATACAGCCAACAAGTTTCTCCCTGACGTGCTTCATCACCAACTTGGAGGCGGTGACGTTGGTGAAGCTGCTGTCCCACACCCACTCGCCTGAAGTCCAGGCAATGAACAGCTTCCAGAAAAAGACCCCCAAAGTTGAAAGACGAGCCACGTGTCAGAAGGACGGTGGTTCGATGAGCATACGCCGGGGCATTCGGGTGGGGGTGCAGCAGCAATGAGACCAGGCCCTTGGATGCAACATGCACCGCTGGAACTTTTTGCATGCTGGCACATCACATTTAATTGTCATTGTAGCTGCAGCCCAGACTCGGCTTTGGCTGCCATGTCGACGCCGCACTTGCAGCAGACCCAGAGGAGGTCAGGCGCACGGTCATGCAAAACTCGGTGCACCTTAGCTTTCGCCCTTGCCTTTCAGCATGGTGCTTCACATCGGACTCGGACCAGAGGGAACTAAAGATGCAGCCGGATTGCTGCCCGGTCGGCTTCAGCCTCATGCTCGTCGTACCAGTGGGACAAAGCAAAGACCTGGTTGTCAAGCCGCGGTGGTCTGCCTAAGTAAGGCAGGAAGATCATTGGTCATGGTCAGTTTACATTTCAGACATCCCACTTCAGCCGAGCGACGAGGCAAAGCACTGATGTTCATATTCTCCTCCATGGCAAGCCTCCGCATCAGGCTTGCCCATAGAGCATGGTCCTTCTCCTGCTCCGTGAGTGCTGCCATGGCGGCGAGGCTCAGCCAGGCTACCAAAAGTTTTGGCCTACCCTAAGGGTTTAACCCAACATTCATAAATCAGACCTGCAAGCTGCCACAACCCTGGCTTGCCATGCCATGTGACAGTGATCTTGATCCACAGCACACAGGAATAAAGTTAAAGGCAGCACGCATGGCATCAAACACATGCCCAAATCCAGGCTGGCGAATCCACTTGACCGGGTCCCCCACAGACTCTGCAACGACGGCAGCTCGTCCACACGGTCAGGCATCCGAGACCTGTCGTGTATCAAGTGGGCAGTCATGGGAGGCAGGGTATTTAAGTCCAAAGCCAGAGGAACCGAAGGCAAAGTGAAAGATGATCACGAAACCTGAACCAGATGTTCGTGGATTTCCGATTCCTGGCACTGCAGGGGCACCGGTATGCTCAGGCCGCAGCTGCCCAGACGAAACAGAAGGAGGAGTCCTTCCCAAAAGCAGTCATGGCTCTGTGCACGTTATTGCAAAAAAGCTGGCAAAGTTGTGACAGTCAGTCAGCTCTTTTTTGGTCACTGCTCGCTGCAGCTGTACGACCAGGATCAGCCTGAATGACCCTCAGGCAATGCCTTTTGGCTTCTCCGACCACTGGCCACAAGCACAGCCCGCAGCTTAAAGTAGCCATGGTTTGATTGAAGTTTTGCCAAGTCTGACTAAACTGTAGTATACTTTTAATCAGTCATCAGTCAGTGGCCAGAGATCAGGCTAAGGTCTTTGAAAAACCATGCCACGCGGGGTAACAAGAAACGTGCCCGCCATCCCTGAGGGAGGTGGTGGCAACGGTGGAAGCTTTCTAAGTGCAACCTCAGGCTTCACCTTTTCAGGCTCCACGAGGAGGCAATTTCCAAGCGGTCGAGACCACTTGTGGAAGTCAACCTCATGGTTCGTCAACCACCACAGCAGCTGGGCTTCTTGGTGCACGATTTCGTAGCGCAAAGCCTTGGCTGATTGAGTGATGTCAAGTTTTAAACTTATCATCGGCGCCGAACATGTCGCATACACTGTTAAAATAACATCATGGCCGGCCAAGTGACCGACATGAGCTCGAGGCGGTGCACCTCATTGTTCGGCTTGGGGCAGTAGAACTTCGAAAGCCCGAAGCGGTCCAGGGCATGCTGGCGGCAGGCAGGACACTCGGAGAGAAGTTCACAGTGACATAAAATGACAATGCAACATCGGCGGAACCGGCCTTCACCTGGTCCTTCAAGGTAACCAGCAGTGTGGCCCGACGGGTAAAGAGGCCCAGCAACGAATCGAACGACTGCTCTTTCAGCCGATCTTCCAGCATCTTGTCGAAGGAGTCATCCTCCTGCAACTGGATTGGTAATGCACATTGATAATGCAAACACAGTTCAGAGTCTGTCCAGTCTCCTTCTTTTTCTCCTCAGCCTCTTTCTTGTCCTCCTTCTCCTTTTTCTCTTTCTTGTCCTCCTTCTCCTTTTTCTCTTTCTTCTCCTTCTTATCCTTCTTCTCTTTCTTCTGCTTTTTTTTCTCCTTCTTATCCTTCTTCTTTCCTTTATCTTTCTTCTTCTTCTTCGACCCTTTGGCCTTGCCTTTGCCCTTTCCCTTGCTAGGGGACTTGTCCTTTCCCTTGCCCTTTCCCTTTCCCTCAGTCTGAGTCTCAGCCTGGGCAGGCAGGTTATAATGATTTTCAGGACCAATGCTCGAGCCAATGTGTCAAAAAACGTGCCTCAGTCACGATGGGCTTGCTGCTCGAGGAGGGCTCCGAGGTCTTCGCCTTGTCCTCCGGGGGCTTCGGCTTTAAGACTTTCGTGATTACTGCAAGAAAAACGGGCCTCTGTCTTCTTGTCAGGCTTCACCTCCGCAACCTGGCCGGGCTCGGGTTTAAGGACCAAAGATTGTGGCTTTTTATTTTAAGCGGCAAAGCTTAAAGCCTCCTTTTCCACTTTCTTCTTCTTCTCCTTTTCAGCCTGAGCCTCCTCATCCTTGCTCTTCTTGGCCTGGCCGGGCTGCGATTGACGGAGACGAGATTGAAACTTTCCAAGGGTGAAGGCCTTCTTTGAGGAGCTCTCCGCCGCCTTCTCAGACGCCTTCTTGTCGTCCTGCCCGGGTTCTCAGAATAAGGCTAAGGCCACATGAATGCTCACGCAAGTCCAGCCCTCGAGTGCTCCTTCGGAAGCTTCTTCGGATGGACCTGGCCGAGTTAATTATTTTAAATGACAGCTGCTCACGAAATACGAAAATCCCGCCTCAGGCTGGGAGCTCTCCTTGGCAGCCTTATGCTTCTTCTCCTGGCAGTCCGACCTAATGACAGCTGCTCACGAAATACGAGAATCCCGCCTCAGGCTTGGAGCTCTCCTTGGCAGCCGCCTTCTGCTTCTTCTCCTGGCACAGGGGTTTATGATTAGGCTAAGGACGACAAAAGAAATCGGTACACGAGTCCCGCCTCGCCCTGATTCTTCCTGGATGTATCAGCCTCCTTCTTGGGCGGGGGCACCTGACCGGGCTAAGGGCTAAAGACAGATGGAAGTGCGAACATCCCGCCTCAGGCGGCTTCAGAAGCTCCTCGGCGACCTTGTCAGCCTCGACACAGACATAAAGAAATGAAAACGGCCAACCGAGTTATGAAAGTCCCGCCTCGGCGGCTGCTTTCAGCCTCTTTTGTCTTCGCTTCTGTGCATTTGGCTTCTTTCGATTCTTTCGTTCCACCCTCACACAAGGCCAAGACTTAGCTTAGACCATACAAAGCAGAGCCGAAACCAGCCTTGCAGGAGACTCAGACGACGAGGAGGAGCTCGAAGAGCTGGATGATGACGACGGCATTTCAGGCAGGAGCCGGGGGTTCAGGAGCTGGGAAGCCCTTTAATTATAGGGCTCTGTGACTGTGATATGTCCATATGACATGTCATGTGATGAAGTGCTGTGCTGTCCGGGCGGGCATGGTGTGATGTCGATGTTGAGTGAATGCTTCAGGCAGCCAGGGCCACCAAGGCAGCCATCATGGCATGAGTCCAATGACACGACATGTCTGATCAAAAAGTTGCAGCACGCACAGCGAGCACATTCAAGCATGCACACATGCTTCCAACAAATAGGCGAACGGCAGGCTGCAGTCCTCGGAGATGGAGCCCCGTGATGCCAAAGTCGTCAGCCTCCAGCCTCAGGACCGGTAAACGTGCCAAGAATGGATAATACGGACCTCTGAGTTGTCGGCATCGCAGCACCGACATCAGTCGTGGTCCAGAGTCCACAGCCGGGTCAGGCCTCAGTCAGGCAAAAGCAATGAGCCAACGTCAGAGGAGGTGCCTAGAAAGACGGTCCAGAAACCGAGCACCCTGCATCTCATCCAATGGTCAGGCCTCAGTCATACCAGAATACAGTGCAATCATTCGTAATTCGCAATTCAAAACAATATCCCAACATACAACAATATTAATATAATGTTGTATGTTGGGATACTGCTGCTTTGCATTCAGTCGAGTGCCTGGCCCAATGGTGTCGATGAAGTCGGCATGGCGGTCAGGCCTCGGCCACAGCATCATACAGCATCAATCCGAATCAATCCCGAAACCCAGGCACCTCACAGACTCAAACGAAGTCCCGAAACCGAATCCAGCCGAAAAAAACCCTGAAACGCTAAGGGTATTAAAGGACCGAAAGCAAAGGTACAAATCCCGAACCCTGAGAAGGGGTCTAAGGTCTCAGGCTCGGGGCGGTGAAAACCCAAAAAAATCCCTTTTCAGACCGGCCGGCACACGAGCCAGGCGAGAACCCCGATGGAGGTACCGCCGGCAGGTGGCCAGGCCGATCCGGGTGGGCATCCAAGCCAGGCTCACGCAGAACCGGCAGGGAGCCTGCTCAGGCCCTTCACCGGCAGTGGATCTCTCGATCGGCATCGAAGCCTGGCTCACGCAGAACCGGCAACGAGCCTGACCAAGAGTCCAAAGCTCAGGCGAGGGCAGCTGAGTTTTCAATTTTCGGTCGGCATCGATGCCTGGCTCACGAAGAACCGGCAACGAGCCAGACCGAAGGACTCCAGAGCCTGGCTCACGAAGAACCGGCTCCGAAGCCCTAGCTCGGTCGGCTGGAGGCTGGCTCACGAAGAACCGCCTCCGCCAGACCGAGCAGGGAACCAAAGCCAGGCTCACGAAGAACCGGCAATGGAACCCAGTGCAGACGAGCAGGGAACCAAAGCCAGGCTCACGAAGAACCGGCAATGGAACCCAGTGCAAACGATGCAGGGCACTCGCAGGGCAGCTTATCTGGGGGGGGTCAACCGGGCTTAGGGTACTATCTAACTATTACTTAATTAAACCCCTCAGGCTGCGGCGCGAAGAAGAAGGAAGTGGAAGTCGGCGAGAGTGACGGCGGGCTTTAGGGTTTAGTGTTTTAGGGTTTAGGGTTTCAGAAGGGTGGGTACGGATATAGGGTTGACGGTTTTGGTGTTTAAGGCTGGCTTATGAGGTTGGGAATTTAAGTTTGGGTTCGGGGCTTAGGGGTTTCGGGGCTTCGGGGTTCAGAGTTCTTTCAACTTTCGCTTGAGTCTAAGGGTTTGGGCTTAAGGGTTTAGTAGGGGTTTGAGGTTTTGGTGCTAGAATTTCCTATTACCATTTGTGGTTATTACTTACTGTACTATTACTAGTCTAATACTATTAATACTATTGTCACTCTTAGCTATCATTGCTGTTCCCATTACCATTTGTGGTTATGATCACTGTTACTATTAAAATTACTAAAATATCGCAAGTGGGCTGCTGTAATTTCCATTTGGGTTTAGAATTGGTTGTCTTAGACTAAGTGGCCGTGAACCCAACCTTTCAACTTTGGGGTAGACTAGTAGAATGGGTTTCAGGATAGCAATTAATAAGAGGGCTTGCTGGAGTATTAAGAGAGGTTAGGGGTTAAGTCCGGTTGGTCAGGGTTTCAACTGAACTAGTGTCTCTTACCACTGAGATTTCGGCCCCGGCAGTGATAACAGTATTATTAGTATTAGACTAATAATCGTATAATAATTCGGCGGGGTAGGTGCGAGGTTCGGGCTCATGGGGGGTTCCCATCGGTTTGACCCTAAATTAGGGTTTAGTGATAAAGTTCAAGGCTTGTTGTGAGGGTCAGACTACGTTCGAGCACTACAGCTATGCGGCTTTTTTCAAAACCATACACCCCCATTAAAACCAAAACCAAAACCTTAAGAATCACCTCTACTGTTTTCCCATCCCCTTCTTTAGCTCTCTACCCCCCAAACAACCCTCTCTCATTGCTATCCTAGGCAACATACAACCCATTCCAACCAAAAGTTGAAAAGTTTGTTTTACAGCCACTAAGTTAGTCATTGATCCCATAACAGCCTGTGACTCCTTTATACAAACAATTGCCAACTATGCAAACGTCTGTGCCACACACCAGCCAACCCTGATCCCCAGAGTGTTAAAGAACCCTTCGGCCTCCGATGGATACAGCACAAAGTCCACCACCACTCGCCAGATCGTCCTAGATGCCTGAAGAGCTGCTTGGTCTACAGAGGTCTCCTTTCGTCAAAGGTTGAAACCAAACGGCTAGTATGGGCATCCCCTTAAAGGTCCCGCGGATCCCCCGAAATGGCCAGCCTGCCTTTGGAAAAGCCCAGGGGTCTCTTTCAGGGGCCATGCTTCTAACCTTAGATTCCCTGAAGGACGGGATGTTCTAGAAGTCTATGAGGAGGCGGGTATGGTCAGGCTGCAACCTTGCCTTGCAAAAGATAGCAGGACCTGTGAACCCGTGGATGTTGAGCCTTCTCGATACCTGAACACCGAAACTGTCCATACCTGAAGCTACGTCGTGCAACGGCCTCTGCACCAAACTCAGCACCTGGGGTGCCGCTGCCGCTGAAGCCAGTCCTTGTTTTGAGTATAGGGTGTCCTTGTCCCCTTTCTTTCTCGTTTACGGGCCACGTTGCAAGGTTTAGGTGGTCTGAAAAGCGTGGCGTTTCTTGAACGATCCTCTGAAGTGCACTGTACGGCTCGTTTAGAATTGAAGGTTTAGGCTTGCTCTGCTTGAACTTCTTGCATCATCCAAGACTCTTGAACATGTTCCGCTTCAAGGTATCTCTGAAACCCAGACATGTAAGACACAAAATGCCAATGGCCGACCCTTGATGTAAAGGTGTACAGTGTACAACAGTTAAACCCGAATATCCTACAGCCCTAAGCCCGCTAAGATCCCAAAACGAAACTAACACAGACCGAAGAGCAGCTAGATCCCCGGATCCTTTAGGCAAGAAACCTGAACGTTGTCGAAACTTTGCAATGCCTAAACCTAAGCGCCGGAAAGCAGCCCGAAAAGCCGGACTGCGCCAATCTAAACGCTAAAAGCTCTATGAATCCTCAAACCATGAAGCCCCATAAGAGCCAAACCGGCTCGCAGCAACAACTCAAAGAGAGTGCTGTGCTGATAGAGCCCTCGAGCAACCCGACGAACTTCTTGATCCTGTCAGCAAGAACCAGAAGAGCCCGAGCAACAAAAACCAGCCCCCTTTGTGTCGTCCGGGCTTCTGAGCTCGGAGTCGCTGGCCCTCTTCGAAGACCTGCTTACAAGCAGGGCTGAAAGACTTGTGTGCATTCGTGCAAGCGGGCTGTTTGGGTTAGACCGTCCGTCCGTCCGTGTGTGTATGTGTGCGCGCCATAAGTACATGCATTAACATGTAACAATCCATGTATCTGCGTATCTATCCAGCTGTCTATCTATCTGTCTATCTTTTTCTCTCTGTTCTCTCTCTCTCGCTCTCTCTCTCTCTCTCTCTCTCTCTCTCTCTCCCTCCCTCCCTCCCTCCCTCCCTCTCTCTCTCTCTCTCTGAGTCTGTCAGTCAGTCTGTCAGTTATTCTGTCTGTCGGTCTATCTGTCAATGAGTAAACCAGTCAATCACTCCAAACATCATTCAATCCGGCCAGCTATCAACCAGTCAATCAATCATCCCGTGAATCTGTCTATCTATCTAGCTTGTCTATCTGTCTATCAATCAGTCAGTCAGTCTGTCTGCCTACTGTATCTGTCTATCACCTATCTTGTATCTATCTATCTAGGTTACTGTTTCATCGTGGGGTGTTCAGGGTTTATGCTTGCGGTCATTTTCAGTGTTTCCGTTCGGGTTGTAGCATCAACTAACTATTCTGAAACATATGAATGACTTTAGAGTTCATGTTGCTTTTTATTAAGCTTTAACTTTTATGTGTGGTTTTACTGTTCATGGCTCGTGGAGTGGGTCTCACTTAGGGTACCTTACTTGCACACCAACAGACTACGTCACTCTAACGGTCCAACGGGTGCTGGGGCTTTGAAGACTTGCATTGAAAGCTCGTGCTATTTAAACTACCACCATGGGACTGTTATCCCAAAACACCATCTCCGTTATGTTGCTTGCCACTTTCTGTCACTGCGTTAATTCATCTGGACATCTTTGCTTGCAGGCTCAAGGTCCAGGGTTTCGACTGGCACGCTTGCTTTGTGCGGTTCTCGACTGTACAGTGAAATTCCTTCTGCTTGCCGAGGTTCATACAGTCCAGCGCCATGCAGCCCTGTTTACAGCTTATGAAACCGTGCGAAAGCCTTCTTTACATGCAAGCTGCCTGCGCCCAGTTCGGGACCAATCCAGTGGAAGGACACCTGGTGGCACGGTTCGGTGTGAACGTTGGGGTTCCCGGGTTGCTATGGCGGCTTGTAGAATGATGATGATGA